GAGCCCGCCACGAAATTAATCCCACTAGATCCCACTTGACAACCACTGAAAACACCACATTCAAGAACTTCCTATACTTGGCCACCTACAGGGGGCACACGACCCAATCGTGTCTTCAGACAGCCCAAGAGAGCCCCAATAAGGCCAAGCAAATGCTCAATAGGCCCAGAGAGAGCCTTAGGCCAGCCCAAGATGGCTCCAATACGCCCCCCCTCCCGAAACACTCCAAATCGTGACCCTTTTCGTTGAGGTAGGCCGCGATTCGCAGCCGAGAAGCCCCGAGAGGTCTCCCAACAAAAACAGTTTCAAAGACTTCGTGATGCACCCAAGGAGGTGTTCCAGGGAGGAGCCTCCGCAAAAAAAACAACTGAGAAGGACGGGGAAGGTGTCGTAGGGAAAGGCGAAAACGAGGAAGAGAAGCATACAATTCCAGGGACGCAGAATGAGAACAATAACGACAACAACGCATACGGCAGCAAGGAGTTATCGATCGTTCTGCTGATCTACCTTTTCCCCATTCCGCACGCAGACCAGCACGGAAGAACCAGGGGTGCATGGCGCGAAGCGCCACTGCAGTCTTGTATACAGCCCACGTGCCCGAAGCACGAGTTTAGGGGGGAGGAGGAGAAGGAGGAGGAGTAGGAGGAGGAGGAATAGGAGGAGGAAGGAGGAGGAGGAGAAGGAGGAGGAAGAAGAGGGGTTTTGGAGGAAGGGGAGGAGGGGGAGGGGGAAGGGGAGTAGGAGGGGGAGGGGGAGGGGGAGGAGGAGGAGGAGAGGAGGAGGAGGAGGAGGAGGAGGAGGAGGAGGAGGAGGAGGAGGAGGAGGAGGAGGAGGAGGGCCCGAGGGCTGCAGGTCAGGGGCCCCCCCAAAAGGGCCCCCCCCCCCTGGGGACCGGACCCCGCGCTCACACGTCTCCTGGGGCGCGACGCGCGCCCTGCGCGGCTCCTCGCACGCTCTCGCAGGACTTCTTGTTAACGGGCCGCGAGAGCATCAAAACGCACGCCCTCAGGATCGGGAGCGGCCAAGAGGGGGGTGTGCAAGAGGGGGGGGTGCAAATCATGACCGGCGACATGTGCGCGGCCCAGCGGGGGGGCCAGGGACGTAATGAAATAAGAAGAGGCGCCATGACATCTGGGGAAATATCATGGCCCACGCCATGATATCCACCCCCCCCCTAGTCATCACCCCCTCTTTTCCGCCCCCGACAGGAGGCCGCTCCCCAGCGCGCCGGAATTACTCTCTAGCTTCGCCGCTTCGCTCTTGGGGAAGCTCTACGAGCCACTTGAGACTAGCGCTTCTGATGATTCCCTTTTGATTGCTGTGCCGAACAGCTCTGTAGCTCATCTGCAGCTCGAGTTGAGTTAAGAAAACCGACAGCACCTGCCAAGCACTGAACAGCCGACATCGAAAGATCGCTCCGAGACGCCGAAGATGGCCTCCAGACAGCCCAAGCCGCTTCGGAGACCCTCCAAGAGCACACCAAGGTGGGGCCCCGAGAGGCCACGTCATTGATACTTGAATGAGTTTAGCGTTCTCGCGTATTCGGGCTTTCGACGCTCTTAGAGGGCCCAAGAAGTCCCCAAGATCGCCCCGAGAGGCCTCCTGCTCACAGACGGCCCAAGGGGGCTACCCAAGAGGCCCAGAGCGAGGCAAGCGAAGGTGCCCTGGGGTCAAACTGGCCCCTGAGGCCACCAAGAAGCCCCCCAGAGGCCCCAAAGGGCCACCCAAGAACCCCCAAGAGGCCCCCGAGAGGCCCCAGAAAGGGCCACAAGAGGCGAGGCCCCAAAGAGGCCCGCAAGAGGCCCTAAGAGGCTACCAAGAGTCATCCAAGAAGCAGGCACTCAGTGAGGCCCCCGAGAGGGCCTCTCACACACAACCCAAGCACGAGGGATCGACGCCCGATGGTACAAATATAGCCCAAGTCGTACCACTTAGATGTCACTCGAAACATAGAGCTTGCATCCAAGCGGAAAGCATTCCAAGAAGCGTCCGAGGGGAATCCCAAAAAACCCGACAAGCGTCCAAGACACCTCTGATCCACTGCTTAGGCACGGCGGCGGGATTGGCCAAAGGCCACTGTGTGCGCAAATATTATAGCTGCTGTTTCTTTTCCGTCCCATCAGATGGAAGATGATATGTGTTCTTGGTGGACCGATTTTCCACCACCACCACCACTATAGGTAGGAGAGGGAGGATGAGGAGGAGGAGGAGGAGAAGGAGGAGGAAAGGCAGGACCTCCCCATCCTCCATTCTCCCCAGCCCGACCTGTGGTGGTGGTGGTGATGGAAAGTCTGCCCATATTTTTTCCCATGTGGCCCTCTTCCAGTCCTCTCTGTCAAGTGTTCTCTCGCCGCAGGACCGACGGGCTCCCGCGCTCTGGAGACACGCCGACTCCCCGCATATCATGCAGGCGTGACGTCGAGCTCGCGAGGGGGACTGTCCCGGGTGCCGTGGTGCAGCCGCCCAGGAGGCCTGTTCAGCAGCCTGTGATTTGGATGCAATGCTGTTCTGCGTTCCCCCGCGAGGGCGTCCTGGCCATCGCTCGGACGTCCGTTTCCCTGTGCTTTTTTTCGGTGTCGTGCGTGGATGTTCGCAGGATGATCCAGGATGCTCCTCGATCATCCCGGCCGAGAAAAAATGCACACGTCCGAGCGACACCAAGCGTCTGCCTGAGGCGCCCCGCGGCGCCACCTCTCGCCGTGAACGGCCGACGGCGGCAGCGGCGGCTGCGCGCCCGTCCAGGGGAGAGGCGAGGAGCACAGGCGGCAGCGGCTGGGTCGCACTGCCAGCACGACGGCCCGAGGCTGCGAGCAATTGGCACGCACGGAGCTACAAGCGAGCTCACCACCAATTCGCACAGGAGGCCCTGGAGTAGATTATTGAAACGGGATGGGCTCATAACAGGTTCTCAATATTCTGGCGCATCTCGCGGCCCTCGTGTCTCGAGCTTGAAATATCGGGAATATCGTGGACCTTAGAATGTGTGGAACGTATTGCTATCATGACTTCTTGCTCGTCGGCTTCATCATAAGATGTGTAGTCAAGCGGTGTGGTGTTGTGCAGCAGCGTGCGTGCGCACGGCGTTGTCGGAAGCTCCTGAATATTCTCGGAACTGCTGGACAAACCAAGTGCTGCGTAACACAGAAGTGGAAAAGATGCCTTCCAGCTGCAGCGGGTGTGCACCGAACGATGGCTGTGAGCTGGACATAATACCCCCCTCCCATCCCGTGCAGCTCCATCCGCCCAGAACCAACCGCCCATCCCGTGCAGCTCGACGTCGCGCAAGGTGTGCACCAAACTTTGACTCTGAGCTGGACATAAGCGGGGAACAGACAGCATCCGGTAATTAGGCTGCCGTGAGTCAACAATGGAAGGAAGGGCAGGAAGGAACCAACATAGCTTAGCAACTGCCGCCCTAAAATCTGAACTCGACGCTGAGGTCACTCGCAAAGCAAGCTCGGAAGACAAAAAGCTCGGCCCGAGTGGCGTAGTCTGCTGGGAGGGAGACCGGAAGGAGGCGACAAGAGAAAGAAGAGCAACAGCCCTCCGTGGCTTGCGGAGCGCGCCGCGGGGTAGCCCAGGCGCCGATCCAAGACTTCTTGCTCGAGTGCCACGGGCACTGCGAACCAAGAAGCGCAGGGAGGCGCGTCGGGCAAGTCGGCGTCGGTACACGGTCGATCGGAGCCCGTTCCTCCCCCGAGATCCGACATCAGTCCCGACGGAACCCTGTAGACCACACACTCCTACGTCTCCTTCCCGGCCGGGTCGATCGGCGGTGGTCCCGGGGATGGGCACCGGGCGAAGACACCCGATTTGACATTGCACCCTCCTGGGCTGGCCATCGCTCGGACGTCCCTTCCCCATGCTTTTTTCGATTTCGTGCGTGTGTTTTTCGCCAAATGATCAAGGATGCTCCTCGATGGCCCTCGCCGAGAAAAAATGCACACGTCCGAGCGATGCCAAGTGGGGAGACCAAGAGGTACCGATACCGCTACTCCCCGGACCTCTCCCGGGGTGCGTTCTGACTATAGAATTTTGCGGTGGCGACGAGGGCCTCCGAGGAGGCCCCAAAAAGGGGAAAACGGGCGCTGGGTAGCGGTATGGGTACATTTTTCTCCTCTGACCTCCGGAGCTCAGGGCCGAGGCAACACGAACGAAGACGCGCAGGTCGGCGCGTCGGGCAGGTCGGCGCGGGTATACCCCGCCGAGCCGAGCCGGTCACTGGGAAAAATGGCTGGGCTGTGGCCGTGCGCCAGAGGAGGAGGAGGAGGAGGAGGAGGAGGAGGAGGAGGAGGAGGAGGAGGAGGAGGGGAAGGTTAGGAGGCAACTACTGGAAGGTCTTCGTCGGAAGGACTGAAGAGGGTTGAGCGCCATTGGGGGGCTGTTACGCCGGGGTGGGCCTCAGATTGAGCGGGATTGAGCCGGGTTGAGCGGGATTGAGCGGGATAAAGTCGGATGGAACGGGGTTGGGCCGGATTAAGCCGGATTTCGGACCAGGGCAAGATCAGAATTTGACCTCCCAGGAGTTGCATCCGAAGGAAGGGGATGCGGGCAGAGTGGTGGGCTTGTTTTCCACCGCCGCCACCATAAGCAGGAGCGGGAGGGGGTCCTCCTCCTGCTCCTCGTCCTCCTCCTCCTCCTCCTCCTCCTCCTCCTCCTCCTCCTCCAACTTATGGTGATGGTGGTGGAAAACAAGCCCATGGTAGAGGGGCGAGAAGCGCGGACGGCCCCCCCCCTGAGAACCTGGCGCCGCAGAGGCTTCTCGAGCCGGGCTCTCTCGCGCCGCCCCTCGGGCCCCGGGGATCCCCGCGGATCGACCTCCAGCTCGAGAAAACTGAAGGGGCCCTGGGACACACAAATAAATACACACTAATAAACATATTCCCCATATTTTTCAATACATTGGGGGTTTTCGTCTTCCCCCCCACTTCCCATATTTTCCCATATTTTCGGGGGAATCGACGATTAATTGTGTCTGTGCGTTTTTGTCCCTCTTGGAAAACGCTGCCGTGGCCGAAAAAAGTGTGGCCTGGAGCTCTGGTCGTGCTTTCCCGCAACGTATCGGGGGCGCGCAAACATGGATTAGCGATCCATGGATTTGGCGCGCCGTCGCCTAATCCATGGATCGGGGGAGGTGCCCTCCCGAAAATGCGGCCGGTGCCGCCTCGCTCGGCGGCGACAATCCGCGATCTCCGATGGAAACGGGACCCGTCGCTAATCCACGCCCGCTTAATCCATGTTTGCGATCGCCTGAATGTTGCAGTTTGGTCGCGGCGTCGGATCTCAAGGGAGTCGGGGATCTTCTGACCCGGGTCAACAATCCAGGACCCCGGTCAGTCAGGCCTTGCAGAATCCTGCAAGCTCCTGCAGAGTCCTGCACCCAAATCTGGGTCCATGCGAAAGATCCTGCAAGACCCTGCACCAGACCCGGATCAATGCGACGCCGGCCCTGCAGGATCCTGCAAGATCGGAGGCTCTGGCTGACCCCCGTTTGCATTGACCCCGGTCTCAAGGCTCCCGAGGGAGGAGCTGGGGACTCCGGTGCCAGCGGGCACCCGGGCTTCGGGACTCCGCTCCGCGCGTCTACGCCAGAGCAGGCCTGCTGGGCCATGGGGCACTCGCTGCAAACCGTGGGGCAGCCAAGACGATGGACGCCGCCTGCGACCTGCTCCGCTTGTGGAGGACATGATGTTTGAGCAGGGAACGACCTTCCCGGCATTCCTAGAGTCCTACCACGACATGTTCTTAGAACCCAACAATGCTCGAAAAACAAAAGCAATGTTCTCAGAACATAAACCCGATTTGATTAAACAAGACAGTCCCAGCCAGAAATGTTCTGAGGACAGTTCGTGGGAACCCCAAAAGGTTCTTAGAATATTGTTTGGTAGGACTATAGGCACGCCAGGACGTTTCGCTGCTGCTTGAGATGTGGCACACGGGTGTGACGATTACAGCAAAAGATGACACCGCAATGATCTAAGGAAGCCCCGATGCAAAGTACAGGTTGCCCCGCAGTCTGGCAAAGGAGCTCATGGCAGATCGTGTCTCGTGCCTTCCTCGTCCCCCCCCCTCCTCCTGCCACGCCCGATGCAAATCGATTTATCGCCGGCGCACTGCATCCCCTGAAACAAAAAAGTTCAAGATCATGCTGGCAATAACTCCTTTCGCCCACGCGCTCCAGCGCATGGCACGAGCGCGGGTGCACGGGCCGCTGCCCGGACACCTGTGCCCGCCAGGCAAAACCCAGGAGCCTCAGCCGAGAAGGCCTCGGGAGTCCACTGGCAAAAACCTAGGCATCACATGGCACCACTGCCTGCTGTCCCGCGCCGACATTCGCAACCGCTCCCCGCGCGGAGGGTGGCCCCCTCCCGGCCCGCGTGCCGCTCCGTGGCCACCTCCTCCTCCCCCTCCCCCTCACCCTCACCTCCTCTCCTCCCTCCTCCTCCTCCTCCTCCCCCTCCCCCTCCCCTCCCCTCCTCCTCCCCCTCCTCCTCCTCCTCCTCCTCTCCTCCTCCTCCTCCTCCTCCTCCTCCACCTGCCGCTCGGAGCCGCAGCCCGCGCCATGGGCCTCACTGGCCCCCCCGCTCCGCCCCGAGCCTGCGCGCCGCGAGGCACCAGAGGAGCACCGCGCAGAGGTGGTTCCAGCCCTCCGCGCGGTGCCTCTGGAGCTCCAGGCTCCACCCCTCCGCCGTGCGCAGGACCCCCCGCAGCAGCTCCTCCGTGCCCTCCGCCAGCCCCAGGTCTGCGAAGTCGCCGCCCGGCCCCCGCACGGCGGCGCCCACGAGGGCGCGGCCCCGCCCGGCGGCCGGGGCCGCGGCGCCGGCGCCCTCGCCCTCCGCGGAGGCCCCGGCGAGCAGGGCCGCCAGCCCCCGGAGCTCGCGCTGAAGGGCCCGCACCTCCTCCGCGCCGTGCGGGGGGAGCAGCGGGGCCAGCAGCGAGGCCACCCCAGGCTGCCCCTCCAGGAAGCAGAGCCACACGATGCGGGGCAGCACCAGGAAGGCCTCCGGGTCGTGGTCGTCGCAGAGGGCGGCCAGGCGCGGCGAGACGGCGTGGGCCTGCCTCGTGCAGGCCACCAGGGCGCGCAGCGCGCGGAGGTTGCCCTCGTCGGCCACGTAGGTGACGGCGAGCTCCCAGCTGGACTCCCACGCGCTCAACACCTCGACCAGGCCTGCGCTGCTGTGCTGGCCTGCAGTGCCGCCGTCTGCGCTCTCGAGGATGAAGTCGCACAGGTTGTCAAACGCCTCGATGGCGCAGCTAGCGATGAGGCAGCCTGGGTCGAAGACGGCGTCTTGCTGATGCGGCACGAGCGGTTGACTGGATCGAACAACCATCTCGGACACAATCAGCACCCCGGCCGAGAAAATGCGCCCCGTGCGGCCTGGGTTGTGCACCAAGTTGAGCATCGATATGTGGTCGACGAGCTGCCAGCAGCAGCTGGACTCGTAGCAGCTTGCCTCCCCCTGCGCACCGCCGTCCCGTGCAGCAGCGGCGGTGCTGCGGAATCCGCGAACGAGGTCGGCGCTGTCCTGGGCTTGCACCTCGTAGAGCCTCAGCTCCGCGAAGAACCTCTCCTCAAAGGAGGCCCAGGCATGGTCCAGCGCACTGAGGGCCTCGCTCAAGCTCACCTTTGAAGGGGCCCTGGGACACACAAATAAATTACACACAAATAACAGGATTCCCCCCACTTCCAATATTTTCCCATATTTTCGGGGGAATCGATGATTCATTGTGTCTTTTTTCCCCTCCTGAACCTTCAGGAGCGCATCCCAGGCCTCGGCCGGCCGCTTGCGCATCTGCCGCAGCAGCGCAAAGACCTCGCACCACCGGCGCCGCACCCACCCGGTGAGGCGTGCCGTCTTGCGGCTCATGTGGAACGCACGCCCGTTGACCACGACCTCTGGGGAAACCAAGAGGTACCGATACCGCTACTCCCCGGACCTCTCCCGGGGTGCGTTCTGACGAGGATTTCGAGGCGAATCCAGCGGTGGCGACGAGGACCTCCCAGGAGGCCCAAAAAGAGGAGAACGGGCGGAGGGTAGAGGTGCAGGTACCTTTTCTCCTCCCCTGAACCTCGCTCTGGCCCTCGTTGCACTTTGCCAGCACCTCCAGGCTGTACAGGAACCCCTGCTGCAGCCAGCGCGCCCGGTGGTGCTCCGCCACGGCGGAGCGGTAGTCCCTCGCCGCGCGCTCGGCTCCCAGCTCCTGGCCGACCAGCTCCAGCATGCTCAGGAGGCGGCTCATCGCAGATCTGCCGGGCGCCGACTCCAGGTCGGGGGTGCCATCCTCAGGGGAAACCAGCCATTGAAGTGGCCCTGGGAAACACAAATAAATACACACAAATAAAAAGGTTCCCCACTTTTTCCCATAGTTTCTGAGTTTTTGTCTTCCCGCCCAATTCCCATATTTTCCCATATTTTCCTGGGGATCGACGATCAATTGTCTGTGTGTTTCTTTTCCTCCTGAGAAACAGGCAATGGCAGAAGCACGCTGACATAACAACTCGGAGGTCCGCGCGGATCTCCCAGAGCAGCGCCGGGCCCCCCCTCCCTGACGCGCGCCGCGCGCCCGAGGCGGCGCCGGAGGCGCCGCCAGGGGGCCCCAGCGCCGATGCGACAACTCCGCGCGGGCCTCCGAATTGTTATGTTTATGCCATTGCTCGTTCCCCTTAATCCTGCTGCAGCGGCACCCACCGCACCATATGCGCCAGGCTGCTGGCCGCTGCCACTTCCCGCGAGCGCCAGGGCTCACCCTGGCTCGCCAGCGCGGCGCTCGCCATGGTTCCGGGGGCGCGCCGCGCAGCGCCTCGCCCCGGGGCTGTGCAGCGCGCGCGGGTGCCAACTGCACCCTGGGACACGCGGGGCGGTCGGCTGGAGCGAAACGGCTGCGGGAGGCCTGCTGCCTGCCAGGCCGCCTCGGGCGTCTCTTGGTGCGGTCTGGAGACCCCAGTGGGGCGTGTTGGAGTTCTCGTCTGCGTCCCTCTCGGGATATCTTCAGCCCATCTTGAGCCGTCTTGGGCCCCTCCTGAGCCCCGCATTCAGGACGTGGCCCATCATTACTGGGCTCTGAAGACCGAGTCGACGAGAGCCCAGAAGTCGTACCAAACGGATCTGGATCATCAGTGATGTTTGTCTCTTTGGAGGGGTCTTCTGGGGCCGTCGGGGAAGCCTGTTTTGAGCAGGGACCGACCGTCCCGGCATTCCTATAGTCCTACCACGAAATGGTTTTTAGAAGCCAAAATTTTCTAAGAACGAAAACAATGTTCTTAGAGCATAAACCCGATGTGATAAAAAAACAAGACAGCCCCAGCCAGAAGTCTTCCAACATTTCGTGGAAACCACAAAAAAGGTTCTTGGAACACTGTTTGGCGGGGCTGTAGGCGAGCCAGGACGCTGCGCCACTGCTCGACTGTTGCCTGCGAGTGCGGCAGCCGTGGGCCAGCTGCGGCCCGTCCTGGTCGTCTCGGGGGTCCCTTCGGGGCCGCCTGGGCCGTCCCCCGGGGCGCTCGCGGAGTGGCCTCCTTGGTCGGGCCTCGGGTCTGGGCGGCTGGCTCTGCTCCAGCAGATCCAGGCATCACCGGCCTCGAACGGATCCCTATCCCTAAGATTGACACGCGAAAAGGAGATGACAATCTTAGGGATGCACCCTCAGAAACGGAGGAAGATCCCCGAGATCGCCATCGTGATGAGGCGGCGCCCAACATAGGGATAGGGATGTGTTCCAGGCTGTTAAAAGCAGGGCTTGCATTTGTATGGATCCTCCCTTGGTCTGATCTGGGTCATCGCGCGGGCACGCCGAGGTTTCGCCCAGTGGGCACGCCGAGGCATGCCACGGAGGAGGAGGAGGGGGAAGGGGAGGAGGAGGAGGAGGAGGAGGGGAGGAGGAGGAGGGTGGAGAGGAGGAGGAGGGAGGAGGAGGAGGAGGAGGAGAGGGGGAGGAGGAGGAGGGAGGAGGAGGAGGAGGAGGAGGGGAGGAGGGGTTGGAGGAGGAGGAGGGGGAGCAGGGCTTGCACTTATGGAGAGCCTCCCCCGGTCCGCTCCGGGTCCTCGCGCGAGAGCACGCCGAGGCTGCGCCCGCGGTGGGCTTCCGGGGGGCGCCTCGCGAGGGCGCCCACGCGCGCCGGCAGGGGTCCGCCGAGGCTGCGCCTCGTGGGCGCCTCCAGGGGCGCGCCTCGTGGGCGCCCACCTCGCCATCGCTCGGAGGAACGGTTTTTTGAAGGCAGATCTGCCTTCAAAAAAACATTTTTTGAAGGCAGATCTGCCTTCAAAAAACCGTTCTTTGAAGGCAGGTCTGCCTTCAAAAAACCGTTCTTACAGAGTAGACCAGTCATTCCCTGTGCTTTGTTCTGTCTCGTGCGTGTTATTTTGTTTCGCCAACTGATCTCAAGGAGGCTCCTCGACGGTCCTCGCCGAGAGAAACAACGCACACGTCCGAGCGATGCCGAGCCACGAGCGCTGGCATGGGTCCGCCGAGGCTTCACGGGGTGGGCGCCCGCGCGGGGTCGCCATCGCCGACGTCGTCATCACGAGCACCATCACCAGCCTCGAACGTATCCCTATCCCTGAGATTCGCACGCCAAAAGGCGATGACAATCTTAGGGATGCGCCCTCAAAAAACAAGGGAATCCCTGAGATTGGCATCGTGATGAGGCGATGCCCAGCACAGGGATAGGGATATGTTCCAGGCTGGTAACACCACTCGCCCTCCTGGGCTACAGTGGAGGCCCGTCCACAAGAAACCTTCCACAAGAAACCCAGCCCTGAGACCCCAAGACGTCTGTCGATGTTTGGTGTGGGGACGTCACGCTTTCCATCGCAAAACCATCGAAACCCAAGAAACCAGGGGCACCCTGGAGGCGAGCAGGGTGTTTCTTGGCATGGGCCTTCACTGTGTGGATCTACACGAGCAGGGTTCGCACGTCATTGTGCCTGTGGGGATTCGAAAGCCGGTTCCAGACTGTGGCTTCACTCCTGCCCTGCTAGAGGTTGCCAACAAGTTGCGAATATGTGGGCGGGAAGGTTAGGAGGCAACTGCTGGGAGGTTTTCGTCCGAAAGATTGAAGAGGATTAAGCCCCATTTGGGAGCTGTTACGCCGGAGTGGGCCTCGGACTAAGCAGGATTAAGCGGGATTAAGCCGGATATAGCCGGATGAAGCCAGACTTCGGACCAGGGCAAAATCAGAATTTGACCTCCGAGGAGTTGCATCCGAAGGGATGGCTGCAAGAACATTTCAGGTGGCCCCGCGCGGATGCAGTCACAATCCGCCACAGTGCCTGCGGCACGCTGAGGCGTGGAAGAATGCCAAGGGCTGCAGGGCAGGGTTTCTGTAGGCTTCTGAAGAATCACCCGCGCTTCGTTCCGCAGACGGGCGACTGCACCACCCCTACTCCCGGGGGATCCCTGAGCGCCGAGATAAGGTGTTACCGCGGCCCGTTGGTTGTTACTGCGGCCCGGTGGGTGTTAGTATGGCCAGGGGTCCTCCGGAGTGTATTAATTATCGAGTACGGTGAAGGGGGGGGGAGGTCCAAAAAGGCTCCGCCCCCCCCCCCTTCACCGAAGAGCCTCTCGGAAGAGCTTCTGGTGCTCTCCGAAGAGCCTCTTGGAGCCGCCGAAGACCTTCTTGAAGCCGCCTAAGAGCCTCTTGCAGCCGCCTAAGGCCTCTCTCCGAAGAGCCCCGTGGGGCCTCCGAAGAGCCTCTTGGGGCATCCGAAGCGCTTCTTGGGCTCTCGGAAGAGCCTCTTGGGCTCTCCGAACTACGACTGCTACTACTGCTACTACTACTACTACTACTACTACTACTACTACTACTACTACTACTACTACTACTACTACTACTACTACTACTACTACTACTACTACTACTACTACTACTACTACTACTACTACTACTACTACTACTACTACTACTACTACTACTACTACTACTACTACTACTACTACTACTACTACTACTACTACTACTACTACTACTACTACTACTACTACTACTACTACTACTACTACTACTACTACTTCTACTACTACTACTACTCGTCCTCGTCCTCGTCGTCGTCGTCGTCGTCCCTAGCGCCCTAGGGCTAGCACTCCCTAGCGCCAGTACTTCCTAGGGCTAGCACTTTCTAGCGCCACTACTTCCTAGCACTCCCTCGGACTGGCACTCCCTAGGACTAGTATTCCCTAGGGCTGGTACTCCGTAGTGCGAGTACCCCCTAGGACGAATACTCCCTTGGACGAATACGTCCTTGGGGTAGTAATTCCTAGGACTGGTACTCCCTGGGGCTAGCACTCCCTGCGGCTCGTACTCCGTAGGACTAGCACTCCCTATGAATGATAGTACCTAACACCAACACTACAGCACCATAGTACTACCACGCTACAGCACTACTACCACAATGCCAGTACCACAACACCACAACACCGCTACCACAACACCACAACACCGCTACCACAATACCACAACCACAACACCACAACAGCGCTACCACAACACCACTACCACAGCACCACTGCCACTACCACAACACTACTACCTACTAACAACTCAACCTTGCCAAAACCACACCACTAACACAACACCACCACCACCACACCACTAACACAGCACACCACTACCAACACCCCACCACTAACACAGCATAAAGCACAACCCGCCACTACCAACACCATACCGCTAACACAACATTACCAACACCACACCACACCACTAACACAGCACAGCGACCACCACACCACTAACACAGCACTACTACCACGTTGGTTCCAGATGGGAGTTACTGTGGCCACTTTTGCCTGCGCGGGAGTGCATTCCCTTAAGGGTTGCGAATCTCTCCAGATCTAACATGAGATACCTTTACATATTACTTTCATTGAGCGGCCTGCGCGGGCCACAGTAACTCCCATCCCGCCGCGCGACGGGCCACACTAACACCCAACGGGCCACACTAACACCCAACGGGCCACAGTAACAACCGGTCGCCCCTGGGGCTCGGAGGGCTGCGGGGGCGCCGCTGGAGGTGGCGCCAGGGTATTGAGACCGCCCCGGACTGCTCGGGAGGCCTCTTGAGGCCAGCTGAGACTGCTCGGGGGGGGCCCTGTTAAGGTCAGCTGGGACTTCCTGGGGGGACTACATGCGCAACCCGAAGCCCTCCCGTCCGAGGTCTCCCAGATAGGGTCCGTGGAGCTGGGGTCGGAGGATCGCGCCGCATCGCCAATGCATCGGTGATGCATCGGCGACGCTGGCGTGGAGAAACTCGGGCTCCACATCGAGCCGCATCGGCGATGCATCGGCGATGCATCGGCGACGCATCGGCGATGCGGCGCGATCGACGGACCCCAACTGCTCGGATCCCATCTGGGAGGCCCAGAGCCGTGCTGCACAGTCTCTGGGCCGCGGGGGGGCCCCGCGGGCCCCCCAGGGCGGCGAAGGGCCTCTGGGGCCCGCCGCCCCTCGGGGCCCCCGCTGCCCCTCACGGCGGGGGGCCTCGCTCGCGCGGCCCGCGCTCCGTGGCTCGAGGGGTGCGCGTTGAGACAGATGCTAAAACGACGCGAAGATCGAGACAAAATCGGATCGGGATAACTCGAAATCTCTGAGAATCGGCGGGTTTGGGGGATGTATTGGGCGCCGCGGCCGCTCCAGAGCGTTCCGGAACGCTCTGAGAGCGCTCCGGAACGCTCTGGAGCGATTTATCCCGATCCTAGCCCTGTTTTAGATGCGGGAGGCGGGCAGACGCTGTATCCGGTTCCACTGCGACTTGGAGTTTCGGTTTCCCCTCCACAGAA